GCAATCAGAGAAAGTTCAACGCCGCAATCAACGAGGCGGTCAGTGAAGAAGTAGATAAGCTACTGGCCAACGGGTCCATCAGAGAAGCAAAATACCCCCAATGGGTCGCCAATGTCGTCATGGTCAAAAAGAAAAACGGGAAATGGAGAATGTGCGTAGATTTTACCGACCTTAACAAGGCGTGCCCAAAAGATTCGCTCCCGTTACCCCACATCGACCAGTTGATCGACGCCACGGCAGGACATGAACTGCTAAGCTTCTTAGATCCCTACTCCGGCTACAACCAGATCATGATGGCCGAAGAGGACCAAGAAAAGACAACTTTTATCACCCACCAAGGGACGTATTGCTATAAGGTGATGCCCTTCGGGCTCAAAAACGCAGGGGCAACATATCAGAGATTGGTCACCAAAATGTTCAAAGAATAGCTCGGCAAAACCATGGAGGTCTACATCGACGATATACTAGTGAAGTCGGCAAAGAAAGAAGACCACATCGACCATCTGAAAGAAGCCTTCGAGATATTAAGATGGTACGGGATGAAGTTGAACCTAGAGAAATGCACCTTCGGCATGGCCTCGAGAAGATTTTTGGGTTTCCTCGTATCACAACGGGGTATCGAGGTCAACCCGGACCAAATCAAGGCAATAGACGCAATACCTGAGACTTTGAACAGCAAAAAGCACGTACAAAAGCTGACGGGGCGAATAGCCGCCCTATCCAGGTTCATCTCGAGATCCTACGATAGGTGCCATAAATTTTTCAACGTACTGAGGAAAGATCACGGGCTACAGTGGAACGAGGAATGCATTGAGGCCCTGAGAAAATTAAAGGCATATTTATCTTCACCACCGCTGCTAGTCAAAGCGAATCCAAGCGAGCCTTTGCTAGTGTATCTGGCGGTATCCGAAGTCGTCGTCAGCGCAGTCCTGGTTCGCGAAAACAAAGGTACGCAGTCTCCTATTTATTATATCAATAAAACCCTGGTGGATGCCGAGATACGGTACCCACACCTCGAGAAACTAGCCCTGGCACTGGTCGTAGCTTCACGAAAGCTTAGACCCTATTTTCAGTGCCACCCCATAAAGGTAATAACGACCTTCCCCCTGAGAAGCATCCTACACAAGCCTGAGCTGTCTGGCAGGCTCGCTAGATGGGTCATAGAGCTCAGCGAGCACGACATATCCTATCACCCAAGAAACGCCATCAAGTCGCAGGTACTTGCCGACTTTGTCGTCGATTTCAGCACAGAGATATTGCCGAAGGCGGAATTGGAGACCATTCGTGCTTCCTCCAGTGCCGACCTTTGGACTCTCTACACTGACGGTGCCGCCAATGCCTCGGGCTCGAGACTGGGACTCGTTCTCGAAGTCCCCACGGGCGAAGTGATTCGCCAGTCCATACGATGCCCCGAGATGACTAACAATGAAGCCGAGTATGAGGCTGTGATTGCAGGTATAAAATTAGCCGTCAAGTACGGGGCTCGACGACTTGTCCTCCATTGCGACTCCCAACTCGTGATGAACCAGATCACCGGGACTTACCAAATCAAGGAGCAGAGACTGCAAAAATACCAATCGAAAATCCATAAGCTAATGCTTGAGTTCGACGAGTGCCGCCTTGAGCAAATCCCTAGGGCGCAAAATGTCGAAGCAGACGGCTTAGCGAAACTGGCCACAGCCACCAAAAATATCAACAAAGGGAGTGTAGTCACCCTCCTCTATTCGGCTATAGACCACGCTGAGGTACTCTCTTTAAATCTAACTTGGGACTGGCGCAACCAGTTCGCCTCCTATCTGCAGGACGGGACACTCCCACTCGACAAAAAAGAAGCCAAAAAGCTCCGCGTACCAGCCGCCCGGTACTGCCTAATAAATCACGATCTCTACAAAGGGACGTTTGGCGGACCCCTCGCTAAGTGCCTGGGGCCGCACCAAACAAGGCCAGTACTCGAAGAGGTGCACGAAGGTCACTGTGGCGCACATACCGGTAACCGCGCCCTCGTCCGTTGCATTATTCGAGCCGGATACTACTGGCCCACTATGAAAAAGGAGGCAGCAGAGTATGTTCGCAGGTGCGAACAGTGCCAAAAATACGCCCCCATGATACATCAACCGGGAGAGCCCCTCCACTCAGTAACCTCACCTTGGCCCTTCATCAAATGGGGAATGGACATAATCGGTCCCCTACCAGCCGGACGAGGAAAGGTACGGTTTCTGTTAGTTTTAACCGACTATTTTTCCAAGTGGGTGGAAGCAGGTGCGTACGCCCAAATACGCGAACAGGAAGTTATCGCCTTCATATGGAAAAACATCATATGCCGTTTCGGCATCCCCAAGGAAATCAGCTGCGACAACGGCCCCCAATTCGTTGGCAAAAAGACAACGGAGTTCTTCGACAAATGGCACATCAAACGAATACTCTCCACGCCATATCACCCTGCCGCCAAAGGACAAGCAGAATCCTCCAACAAAACAATACTGAACATACTGAAGAAGAAACTCGAAGAAGCCAAAGGGCTCTGGCCCGAACTACTACCAGAAGTACTGTGGGCACATCGAACCACGCCCAAATCCAGCACGGGAGAAACTCCGTACTCACTGGTCTACGGAATCGACGCGGTCATACCCGTCGAAATCGGAGAACCAAGCCTGAGATATTCACATACCAGCGGAGCGGATAACGACATGAATAGGCTCCAAGACCTCGACGAGGCCGAAGAACG